CCCTCCTCTCCCCTTCCCCGTTCCCCCGAGGGAGGGGTCTGGAGCAGGCTCCCAGCCAAGTTCGCTCTTCACGCCAGGTCTGCACTTGGCGACCTGCTCATCTCCGTGCTGCGATTACGCACACAGCCCACAGTGCAGCGGTGGGAACACCTCCTGGGAAGTCGAACTGTAATTTATACGAAGCCTCTCGCTGCCAACAGCAGTAATTTGAGAATAAAATGCTCCTTTTCTCTGTCAAGGTTTTAGGGCATTTTCCTCCCTCTTCTGTGGTCCTTCTGAAGAAGCTCCATCCTGCTCTGACAGTTGTTGCCGCAACAGTAATGAAGGTTCCCGACGGTCGGGGCTTGGCCTGTAACCGGACACGGCCTGTGTGCATGTCCCCCCCAGCCGCGCAGCGTGACCCTGAGGTCTCAGCTTTCGTGGACTTTGCAGAGTGTTACCTGTTGGGCTTCCGAGATGCACTTGTTAGTTTGATTTGCACTGAAAGGGAACACCTGCTTACTACAGTTTACCAGTTCTTCAGCTGCTGGGGCCGCAAAGGTGGGAGCATGGAATCTGTAAGAGAGGGACGTTAGAGTGGACACACTTAGAAAAACTAGAAACCCTGCCACGTCTACCTGCCCCGTCCGGTCAGGGAGAAGGTGTTGTGAGAGCATCTGCCTGCTGCATGCGTCCCCTGGGACAGCCCAGAGTCTGCTCCTGGATGCCCCCCCACCAGGGCGGTTTCGAATCGGTGCTGATGGTCATGCATCCAGCCCGACCGAGCCCAGAGAGGGTACGTCCTCTCGGAAATAAGGGCCCAGGAGTCCCGGGGGCAGGCATCCTGTGTCCCTCTGCCTGCCTGGCCCCTGCCCCCAAGGTGTCTCTGTGTCCGGAGGGAGCACATCCCCCAGGCCTGCCAGACCCCCAGATCTGTGAAGAATGCCAGCCTCACCTTCCAGCCTCCTGATCCTTGTCCATCGTGGGCTTTCTCCTTCCTCGTCTTTGAATTAACTGCTCTCTCTTCCTTTGAGAATGTCCTCTAAACACCGTGAGAACACGGCCCCCGTCTGTCCCCAGCTGCTGAGCCGCCTGCGGGCTCGTGGGCTCCTCTCCGGCCTCTGTGCCCGTCGCCCGTGTGAGCTCCTTTGTTCTAACTCTTCAGCTAAGTGGCCCTGGCCCTTCCTCCCTGATTCTCACGTGTACCTGTCCCGCCGCCTCGCCGCGCTCCCTCTGGAGCGCGTGTTTGCTGTGTTCCGTGTACCTGTCCCGCCGCCTCGCCGCGCTCCCTCTGGAGCGCGTGTTTGCTGTGTTCCGTGTACCTGTCCCGCCGTCTCGCCTCGCCGCGCTCCCTCTGTGTTCCGTCCGGTCTCTTCTCTTGAGGCCGCTCTTTTTCTCCTAATTCTCAGTGTCCTTGTTACCCTTTGATGATGGAAAAAAGCGCACCTTTTCTTCTCCTTTCCCCGCTTCTGTTTCTTCTCCTTTCTGTTTGTCTTTTAACGGCAGCAGGAAGCTGAGCATTAGGATGGGGAAGGATGTAGGAACTGGGGTGCTCACTGTGGAGTAGAGGCTCTGGAAGCCCAGCTCCCCGAGGGCCTTAAGCTGGCCTGGGGACCGTTGACAGTGGGATTCTCGGCCCATTTTCAGGAGCCAGGTTCCAACTCTCACCCTGAGGAAGTGGCCAGAAGCCCGGGGTGGCGGCCGTCCGTCTCTGCTCCCCTGACTCTCACAGGCAAGGCTCGTGGTCAGCACAGGACCTGGGGGTTGGGGGGGGGGCTCACGGCCGGTTTCCAGGGGCTCCCCCTTCTCTGCAGGGTCACGTCTTCGCCTGCTCCCCACACCCTCAGCAGCCACAATCTCAGAGCGCAGGCTGGAAGGAGAACATGGCCTGATCGTGGTCACTCTGTGTAGGACCACCATCAAACCAGCAAGCAGGAGTAGCTCTGTCCTGGTTGGACGCCACTGACTTTTAGGGCTGCCCTGGGGCCACCCAGGGTCACCAACACGCACACGGAGGCGACGGCTCCTGAGGCGGGTGGCCAGGTCCTCCCCTGCAGGGCGGGGCCGTGACCCCATGTCTGGGCCTGGCCTTTCCTCCCCAGGTCTCAAGTCACCTGTCCAGAGGGCGTCCTTCCCAGGACAACAGTGGTGGGCGAGAACAGGTCTCACTGCCCCCGATGCACGGAGCCAGGCCCGTGACTCGGCCCTGGCCACCTCCCAGCCACCCAGGTGGGCGCCCCTGGGGACAGCGTTCCCACGAAGCCTCGGTGTTGGGTGTCCGTTCCCAGGGCCCCAGCCTCTGACCGGTCCCCGCCCCAGCACAGCCATTCAGAGGAGCTGAAATCCATCACACAATGAACCCACATGATACTCCTCTTTGCAGAGACATGAATAAATCATTGTGCCAGGCAGGACCGCACCCGAGTGGACGGGGAGGCCCCGCTGCACTTTGATGAGCGGTGCTGGGGCGGCTGCACTGGAATGAATGCGCCCCTGTCTCTGCCCCCGCGGGCCTGGCACCTGCTGAAACCAGACCTGGGCCAAGGGCACCACCTGCAGCTGAGGGCCGTTGCTGAGGACAAAGCCCACCGCTGTCAGAGCCCCTCAGCCAAGCGGGGACAGGTGGGTGAGGTGGCTACGGACCCAGCAGGCCCCCATTAGGGACCAGCACCCCACTTCCATCCCCCGTGGGACTTGTCCCCCTAGGTGAGTACAGGCCACCCCTCTTCATTCATCAAGGGCTTCTCCTTGTAACAGTAAGCATCCACTTCTTCCAGGAGACAGAGTGGCCTGATGTCATAATGGGGATCCTGACCCCACTCGCCAGGCTGGGTGTTAGGAGCGGACTCTGCTTTGGGGAGGCTTGGGTCCTGGGCTTACCCCTTGGCAGGTTAAATACTGTGAAGACTGATGCCAGCACTCAACACAGGATGCATGCTCACTCAGTCCTCTCTGACTCTTTGCCACCCCTTGGACTGCAGCCTGCCAGGCTCCTCCGTCCATGGGATTCTCCAGGCAAGAACACTGGAGTGGGTTGCCATTTCCTCCTCCAGGCGATCTTCCCGACCCAGGGATCGAACCCAGGTCTCTTGCATCTCCTGCATTGGCAGGAGGGTTCCTCCTCCAGGGGATCGTCCCAACCCGGGATTGAACCCTGGTCTCCCACATTGCAAGCAGATTCTTTACCACCTGAGCCTTCAGGGAATACTCCAAACGCAGGAGGGCAGTCATACAGATCCTGCCACAGACACTGCTGCCTCTGGCCCCCGGTGGGGCCGACGTTCCACACACCAGGACCCTCGCAGGTCCTGGTGGCTGCACGCGGAACCCATGCATCCAGCGTGAAGGCCAGTCAGACAGCGAGGCCCAACAGTCTAAGACCCCTAAGCTCCCTCCTAAACGCCAGCGGGCTCGTGAGGGGTCCCCCCACCCTGGAAGCCAGGTGCTGTGCTGGAACACGGCCCCGCCCTGACCGAGCGGACACTGAGTCCGCACGGGCAGCTCTGCTCTGCTTTTCACAGGACCAGAGTCACATGGAGACGGTCGTCCAGTCACACGGGCGGCCCCGGATGCGGGGGGCCCGTCCTAGCAGAAGGGCTGTGCCTCAGAACCAGACTCTGGGCGTTCCTTTTATAAGGATGCTTTTGAAAAACTTTGTGCCCGCTCATCCATTATTATAAGTGCTTTTTTTTTTTTTAACGTGGACCATTTTAAAAATCTTTATTGAATTTGTTACAATGCTATTTCTGTTTTGTGTTTTGTGTTTTTTGGCCAAGAGGCATGTGGCATCTTCGATTCCTGACTGGGAGTCGATGCCACACCCCCTACATCAGGAGGTGAGGTCTTAACCAACGGGCCACCAAGGAAGTCCCCGTCACCCGTCCATTTTTAAGATGATCTTTAAATTTGTGTACCATTCATTTGGGAAGATCCCCTGGCGGAGGGCATGGCAACCCACTCCAGTGTTCTTGCCTGGAGAATCCCATGGA